ACACACACACACACACACACATACACACACACACACATATACACACACACACACATACACACACACATACATACACACACACATACAGACCCAGATGATTACATAACCTCCTGGCGGAGGTAATGACAAGTGAGACTAGCTGTGAGAGAGTCTTTGTGGATATAGTGACAGTCTTTGCAATTTCACATCATGATTAGCCAAAAAAAAACAAAAGTTGATGCAATAAAGAATAATAGATTAATTCCTCATTATTTACAAACATGTACCAGTACCTTTTGCATTTATATTGTGAAAAAATATCTATATTTTTATTTCATTTCTGTATATTTTTCTCAGAAGAATGATAACAAACTGCGTAATACCGCGTGCAACCCCCCTGCTATGAGACTTGGACTAGTACAATAACTGTATATAACATGAAGTTTCCTGAACAAAATGGCGGAAATGTTAAGAAAAAATGTTGATGTTTGATCGTAAAATACAAAAAAACTGCAGGTCTGTGCGAGTTACAACAACTGAATTAATTCGTACTCAGCGTATCAAAATCTATAGATTTATGTAAACTAAAAGTAGACACCGAATGGGGGCAGCGGAACTGAACGATAAGCGGCCACAGAATACGACCTATACGTGAGAACAACGCATTAATTGAAATCAATAAAGCCACTTCTAAGGAAGCAATAACTGTGGCCGGAAGTAGTTGCGACGAGTCTCAAAATTGTTAAGTTGCTGATTCGACTGTTTGCCTAGCTATCGATCGACTAATGCATGATAAGACGAGCGAGGAATCGTCAACCAATGGATATCCTGAATAATCCCCGAGCCGACGGCTCGAAGCGCCGTGCGAGGGTACTAATTCCACACGGCTATTTACACCCGGGGAAAGGAACGCACTAGGCAAGTCTAAAGTTCAGCAAATATCGTGGGCGCATGGCTCACCGTTCATGGGGGGTCATCCTCACTGATCTCAAAATATGTAGCGGACTGTCGTGAATAGTGAACACTGATTGGTCAAATTGAAATTTGCATTATAACGACTGCATTGACGACAGCGAAATAACGAAAATTTATTATGCAAGTTATATTTTTGCAAGATTTTGTAAATTTCAAAACCTATCTGAGAGCCAAAAAATGTCTATAAACGTCTAAGAGATTAAAGCAAAGTCGCCAACGTTAATGAAGGTAAGTTTGTTTTAAATATTGATGTACTGTTTGTTTTATAATTGATATATTTATAACTGATAGTGGTGGGCGATACTGCGAATATCGAACTGATAGTTATAGTGATACTATCATTGTGTATATAAGTGCATACATATCCAATATTACGATACGCAACGAATAGTAAAAATGTTTTAACCATCGGTAAATACGAATACCGATTGGTCACCTGCAGTGTCAAAAGAAACATGATTTCATTATTAGGATATTCACCGACGGTATGCCGCGGTGATAGGATTCACAATCTGTCATCTGCAGTGTCAAAAGAATCGTGAAGAGATGAAGACTTAATCTTATCTTAATTGACGAGTACCGCAGGCTTACTATAACGCCTGGGTATCACTTCATGAGTTTGCTTCGTTTTTAAGAAACACGCTTTTGACGCTTTATATAAACGCACTGACATTTAAAACACCAGACCGTGCATTTAAATATTATATGTCTACATGAGTTTGCTTCGTTTTTAAGAAACATGGTTTATATATGCGCATTGATATTTAAAACACCGCAGTCCATGCATTTAAATATATATGTCTTCATGAGTTTGCTTCGTTTTTAAGAAACACGCTTAGTTATATAAATACATTGATATTTTGATATTTAAAACATTACTCCGTGAATTTAAATATATAGGCTACGCATTGATATTTAAAACACCAGTCCGTGCATTTATATATGATATATGACTTCATGAGTTTGCTTCGTTTTTAAGAAACACGGTACAGGCTACGCATTGATATTTAAAACACCAGTCCGTGCATTTAAATATGATATATGACTTCATGAGTTTGCTTCGTTTTTAAGAAAAACGGTTTATATAAACGCATTGATATTTATTAAAACACCAGTCCGTGCATTTAAATATGATATGTCTTCATGAGTTTGCTTCGTTTTTAAGAAACACGGTTTATATACTGCATGGGTGTCTCAAAAAAACTATACCCTGTTTGATTTCATGTACCGTAAAACCTATTACAGCTATTTCACTAAAATAAACAGCATTGTATTCACAAAGGGTTAACTTAGATTTTGATATATAACATTTACATTTTCGTGCCATATTCACACAGCTATTAGCCTATTAACGTTTCAAAGTTGACTGACATTTCTGAAATGTTAAAAATTAGCATAAAACAGCATATCAAATTCAAATTTAGTTTTTGATAATTTTTATTCTTGCTAAAAGAATGCCTTCATGAAATTATGTACAAAAGAATGGCCTAATATGAGTTTACTCATCAGGAAAAGCGTGTCGATACAAATCCAAACTCGTTGTTGTCTTTTGTTAACTTTAGGCTAATCGACATGCAATGTTTATTTCATTGCCAATTTGATTCCCAAGAGACGTCATATGGAACTTTCGTTTAATGTGAATTATTACTTTGTTTTATACCTAAGAATCAATCTTTAAGTGTAATTTTTAAAGTTATAAGTGAAAAGAGACGGCAGAGAATTGCAGTGTAGTTTTATTAATTACCCTTTCTTTTTTTATATTAAAGTATGTAAATAAAGAGGCCGGAAAGCAAAGTTATTTTCATGCGAGAATTTGAAATCAGTTTGTTTCAAACTCAATGTTTACCACAACCTCGTTCCCAGGGTCTTTAGGAAAGACCCTGGTATCGGCTGGTCACGTGCCTCGTCCAAAATTGATTGCCCGAGGGGGGTGTGGTGAAAGTATCAAATTACAAACAGTTAAAAACATAAATTTTGCGAACTATTACCAGTAAGTTCAAAATACTTGCTAATTTTTGTTAATTTTATTTGCATTGAATTTACAAGAACATTCTTACATTTTTACCAACAGTCAAGTCAAGAAACCAAGCAAATCGTTACTCGCAGTGCTCTCTCGTGTTATTATTATTCAATGCTGTCTTCACACTCCAGCGCGGTTTTATAACAAACGTTTATGGGCTTTTCAGTGGTCACCATTTCTACATATCTAATGTTTTTAAAACACGCATTAGATTTGTCCTTTTTTGTAAACGTTGCTATGCTTTGCACGTCTTGTTTATAAGATTTTTAAAAGAAACAGTATTGTATTGTATTGTCTAGGACTAGAGAGTAGAGCCCAATATCAGCAAATGTAAACATTTG